GGTGATCTCAATCCAGGTTCAATTCGGTGAAGGATGTCTAAGTGTGTAAAGATTGATGTATTGAGTTTTTGTTTTAGAGAATAGACAACAAGGAGGTAGATGAATGTTGATTGGGATCGGAGGTGATTGTAGGACTGAGTTTTTGGGTTCACAACCATTTATTAACTATTAAATTAATAAACCTATTTGTAATTTTTTTTTAATTTAATTAGAATTGTGTGATCCATTTATGTGTCACATCAACACATAACAGAATTTTGACAGAATTGTGACGAAATGACTACATTGATTTGGGACACTTACTTGCGGGACTACATTTATCGATTTTCAATTTCAGGGGCCATTTTTATGTCACATGTCAATTTCAATGACCATTTGTGAGAAGAAAAAAAAGGACTTATGGGACCCATTTATATGCCACATCAACATTTAACAGAATTTTTAATAGAATTGTGACAGAATGATCACATTGATTTGCAACACCTATTTTCAGGGACTACATTTATTGATTTTCAATTTTAGGGACCATCTTGACAGTGAGGGTCAATTTCAATGACCATTTGTGATAAAACTCCTAAAATTTAATAGTGAAAGTTGATGGCCCAACTAGTCTGGGCTTGAATCACCCACACTGCCTACATTAGGTCTGCTTGCTACTGGTGGGCTCAACAAGCTCACATTCCCTTTGTTGTGGAAGTCAACATCTGGCCAATGTTAGTGCCAGAGCCTTCTGCTTGCTGCCCCTTTTGAATTTAGGCTTTATGGTCCTCCAGCCCAACATGTACTCGCTGGACATATTGTTGGCAGGGACTACTCTTCATTGGAGCCAGCCCATATTTGGTTGACACAGGAGCAGCACTAATGGAAAGGACAACTTGGTCAACCATTGGCACAACAAGGTTTAGGGTTTGGTTCTAAGCTTTTTTTTAGGAAGTTTTAACGAAACACTTCTAGTACTGTTCACTTTTAACGAAAAACCACATTTTTACCTTTTGCTGGTACTATTCACTACACCTTTATTTGTTCATTTTCATTAAAACTAAAGTTTTTTAGACTTTTCGTTAGTTTTCCTTTCTTTTTCTTTTTTTATTATGCCACGAGTCTCTTCTTTTGAGACCACAGTTCTTTCATCGGTGTTTTTTCTAGGTTGGGATTTCGTGAAAGGTTTCTTGCTTTGAAAGCTTTAAAATTGAATTTTGGTTGCTAGTTGCAGACATTAGCCAACAATAAAAGTCGGCATTGGGTGAACTTAGGATTTAGAGGAAGTGACAGGTCGAAACCCGTTATGACGCCAAGATAAAACTAACTTTAGGGCTTCAATCTATTTCTCTGTGTATTATTCTTCTCCCGTTAGGAGGAAATACATATATAACCACACCTTGTAACACAAGCAATATTAAACGAATCCTAGACAAAGAAACATATTTACATTCCTATTCAATTTCCTAATCAAACCGTAGTACTAAGAGGCAAAAGGTCTTGACTCTTAAGTACAAATGTTGTAGAAGAAAGGAATTAAAAATAATAGAAGGTTTTTTTTTTAACAAAAGATATTATCTACACTAAAGGGAATGAGTCGACTTAGCCTCACAATGGGTTAGCAATAATGTAGTTCAAATCTACTTTTTGCGAGAATTGAACCTAAGATTTTTCAATTACAAGTGAAGAGGAATATCACCAGACCGTAGTACTAAGTAATGACATGATGTGACTATATGCCCAAGTGAGCAAAATGGGTGAAATGGGCCTGGATTGATTTCTCCATTAGCCCAACTGTACTCTTGTAGCCCAATAATATTTTAATTTCCAGATTTTCCTTCACAACAAACACAAAGAGAAAGAGGGTAGCGAGTGGGGACTACTGTGAGTCTGCGACTGTGGGGGAATTTCTCCAAAATTCAAAACATCTGAGGGGAATAGTCGGTGATTCACAACTGAGAAGATGGATAGAGAATGGGGTTCAAAGCCCGGCAGCGGCGGCGCCGCCTCTGCACAGAACGAAGCCATCGACCGCCGGGAGCGTCTCCGGCGACTCGCTCTCGAGACCATCGATCTCGCCAAAGATCCCTATTTCATGCGCAATCACCTCGGAAGGTGCGGCCCTCTTTTGATTTCTGGTCAAATTTCACTGCTTTCCATCTAATTGTTGCATTTTGTTGGTTGGTTTTTACAGCTATGAATGTAAGCTTTGCTTGACGCTGCACAACAACGAGGGCAACTACTTGGCGCATACACAAGGCAAGCGCCATCAGACCAACTTGGCGAAACGAGCTGCTCGCGAGGCAAAGGACGCTCCTGCTCAGCCCCAGCCGCACAAGCGCAAGGTCAATGTGCGAAAGACGGGTATGTATCTCGTATTTCTTTCAAACGCATTTAGTCGAACACTTGGTGTGCATGGAAAGTTGTTTTAATTTAGTTAACTGTTGTAAGTATACCATTTAATGTATGGTTGCAGTCAAAATTGGTAGGCCGGGGTATCGAGTGACAAAGCAGTTTGATGGAGAAACAAAGCAGAGGTCTCTTCTCTTCCAGGTGTGTGTGTGTGTGTGTTCATTGTGCTATATGTATTTTCCTGAAATAATAAGCTCTCATTCAAGGGTATATAGTGTGCAAATTAATGGTGTAGCTAATGTTGCGTTACATCTATGTGTTATGCAGATTGAATATCCTGAGATTGAAGATAATACAAAGCCAAGGCACCGTTTTATGTCATCTTATGAGCAGGTAGGGTTATATCTTTGTGGCCTGCAATTTATGGACGTCCTCTTCTTCTACTCGTTTTTCTTACTAGAAATGTTTCAGTGAATTCTTTTGGTTTTTTTTTTTTTTGTTAATGTTGATTTTTCATGAACACAGAGGGTTCAACCTGTGGACAAAAGGTACCAGTATCTTCTATTTGCAGCCGAGCCTTACGAGATAGTTGCTTTCAAGGTATATCTTGCCGTCTATGCATTGGGTATTCATTCATTTTTTATATTGTTAGATTCAGGACATTTATTGTGCCTCCATGTTTGTTTCTGTTTCAGGTTCCTAACATTGAGATTGACAAAACTGATAAGTTTTTCTCACATTGGGATCCAGACTCAAAAATGTTCACAGTTAGTTTTCTAACCCTACTGATTCATGTCTTTTTATATGCACTTCTAGAAATAGATAAAGTGTTTCATTGGGATGTCAATTTTTGCGGTTCATTAGGTTGGTAAATCTTGTCTGTGGTTATTTTAAGATATAGGCTTTTAAAACCCTAGTGCTCGTTTGATAACCATTTTGTTTTACTTTTAGTTTTCAATTTTTGTGCTTGAGATATAGGGAGAGTAATTGGGGGAAAGGAGGGAAAAACCAAAGAAGGGTAGTGGGGAGGGAAGGGAAGAAACAAAGAAGAATAAATAAAATCAAATTCTTCAAACTGAAATCAACTTAAACTAGTTTTTGGTTTTTTAGTTTTCGTTGTTTGTCTTTCAACTCTTTCCTTGTACGTTTCTTATACATCTCTTCACCACCATCTTTCCTCCACTTCTATATGTCCCTCATTTTCCCGACGTATTTGCTTTCTATTTCTAGCACAAAACTGAACAATAAAAATTTGAAAAGAAATGGTTACCAAACGACCCTAATGGAGTCTAACTTAAGAAAGCTTATTTGATTCGGCAAGCAAGTCACATGTTTGGTTTTGAGTCTCTCGACAGTTGGCACCAATTGGTGACATCTGCATAAACTGCTGCATACTCACTAGATCAGGTCAGATGTTTTACTAATAGTAAAATTAAGAAAGGAAAAAAAATCCTGGCAAACTATCGTTTCATAGAGAAAAGAACCCCTCAGCTAGCCACTTGTCGTGTTCTTACGGGTTCTTATTTGTGAAATTATTTTGGTGTCCTCCAATGAAAACTCAGCAGGATTTTCTCCCAAAGTATTGAATTCGATATACGAAAGCCCTCTGGTTTCACTGTCTTTACTTAGTTGACTTTCTTTTATGCTTTTTGCTGGTTGAATTTTTCTTCTCATTTTTCTGTGTTGGATGTACCAATATGCAGTTGCAGCTATATTTCAAAACTAAGCCACCAGAGGCGAACAAACCTCAACCTCCCCCTGCAGCCAATGGCCCAGGTGCTCCCGGCGTTCCATCAAGGCCTTTGCCTCCACCACCCCAAGGTCCTCCTCCTCCTCCACCACAAGGACTGCCGCCTGGTGCACCAATGGGAAATCCTCCCAGAGCTCCTCCGCCAATTCCTGGATCTTTACTACCATCAGCTCCTATGGGAAATGGCCCTAGGCCTATGCCTCCTGGTGGTGCTCCACCTGCCCCTCCTCCGCCCTCTGTTGGTAACACAATGGTGAATTTCACTCCTGGCACTCAGATGGGAAGGCCTCCATCAATGCCACCTCCACAAGGCTTTCCGGGACAACAAATGCAGGGCCAGGGTCTTCGTCCACCCCCACCACCTCCTAATATGAGTTAAGGGAACCAATTGCCTTTGGGGTGGCCGTCCTTGTACCGGAGCATCTCAGTGAACATATTTGCAGTATCTGTGTGGAGAATGAAGTCAGCGAAAAATGACCCGGTATTTCCGTTAAACTGGAAGCTGTACCTTATTAACGATCACTCCTTTATAGCCCTACTTGTTCCTAGTTTGTTTCTGAATTCCCATTTTTCCCTTATGAAAGACAAATGTTATTGTTATAGGATTGAAATGGAGATGCTATAGCTTCTGGAATTTGGGAAAGGAAACATGCCTTGTGGCAATTTCTTTTGGAATGTACTTTTGGTTTGTGTGCATTTACTTGCAAGCAATGCATTTGATATTAGGTCATGCTCTAAGTAGATTTATGTGATTAATAATTTCCGTGTTACGCGTTTGTTTAACTTTTGGGTTAAATTTATTAAAGGAGAATTAATGACCTGAAATAAACAGAAGTGTGATTGTCGCTGATGAAAAATAACTCGACTCTTCAATGATCTCGTGCTTGTCCTGAATCTAACAGAGGAAAGGTAAAATGCGAGTGCGGAAATTATTTTCCAATTTATAATCAATCATTTACAGCCGCTCGCGTGCAAAAAAGACGGTTTGGATGTCTCTTATCGATTAAACACAATACCTTAATCGGAAAATGGATACAAGTACATGTAATGAAGCAGCAGGCGCTCCTAAAGTAGCGAAAGCAGAGGGAGTAGAGAAACAAATTCAAAATTTTCAACCAAATCATTATGATCACTCAACCCAGCTGCTGCTCAATGCTGCCATAATCAACGACGCTCCCCGAATGCACTCCCCAAACATTTCATAGACCGCTCGTGCCAACGGTCCTTGAAGGCATGCAAACTGGAGGCCTTATCAAAAGTACTCTCAGATGAGGTTTGGAACACCAGGTTTTTACCTTGTTAAGGCATTTGGAGGAAACACCTTCCGGATGAACTCCAAGAAGCGCCGCGAATAGAATGTAGGGTCGACAGCAGAGATGGACAAGGAATCAAACTGAAGAGATTTGTATGCGTGTTCAATCTTCTTTCCCATGCTGTAGTCTTGCAATATGTCAATGATTCCGAGATACAGCACAACATCGTATACTTCATGAAATGTCTGCTGGTCTCCCTGTTCGCCAGGAACCTGCTCTGCCCTTGCTGGCATGTTCACACCCAGCTGGATTTGGAATCTGCTTAAATACATCGTGACAACAAATAAGATCATTTATTCCAATTTGGCAAGTGTACATGCAAAATTATAAACTTCATTTGTATTAATAACGCCTTTAGTTGTGATTTCACTTCAGATCCTTAGCTTTTCAAAAGACGACTTAAAACGGATTCTCCGCATGGGGTCTAGATAAATGCTCCATACCTTGCTGTACCGGGTAAAAGGAGATCAACTTCCTCAAAACCGGCAGATGATGCTCTCAGCCGGCTACCTCTCACGTGAGGGCCCACAACAACACTAGCATCATCTGTTCCACGAGGGATTAAAACAAGTCCTTGTGGGTAATTAGAGATTTCATCCTCCAGAGTCTCTGTCATTAAAACACCAAAAGCAAAAACTATTATGTTAGTCTTTCGTGGTAATGAAAAAACAACTCTGTATATCATTGAAAAACTGAGGATGAGTCATGACAACTAAATTGTGCATCGTTATGAACTACAATGACCTTCCTCTGCAAGGATTCCCAAACCATCAGCTCGATTGGTATTATTGTAGGACATGACAGACCGCAGATGTTGGGGGGCCCGATAATGCACTCCCATGAGAAGGCTGTAATCCATAATGTGCTGCGCCTCCAGAAATTTGCTGTCAGTCTCAATCTGACTGCATAATAATAGGAGAGCAAAATGAGTTCAGTAGCAATAGTAAAAGGAAAAACAAATTACCACAATGGAACAAATAGGATGTTACCACTTAATAATGTTACAAGTAAACCGTACTGAATCTGGCAAGAAACCACGTTGACTACATCTTTCACAACCAAGAGAAACAAGAATAAAAGAAATTACATTTTTTTTATGACAAATTCTTAGGTTGTGTGTTTTAGTAAACTTAAAGTAAATCTGGGGTCCCCTAGATTATAGAAGTCATTTATACACCTAAGGTATGGACTGCAAGCAAAAGAGAAAGTGAAAACGCATCTGGATTCTAGAACTCCCACTTACTTCATTAAAGCCTCTCGCCAAGAAGGTTCCAGATAAAAAGAGTAGTTTAAATCCAAGTCCTTAAGTGTTGTATTTTCATCAATTTCGATCTTATCTGCAGAACGACCAAGGGATGAACCTTTCAAATCAAATCTTCGATGTATTCTTAGCTCTGTGCAGAACATGTTTCCCATCACTACAAAGCGGAACTGCAAAGCATATTTTAATGAGCAAATGTCAGTCTTTAAAATACAAGAAGCAATTTACATTAATAGGGATAGTATCATTGCAAATAACAAGAGAATTCACTATAGAATTGCCTCTTAGACAAGGCGACACAGGCGTATAGCATCTCAACTGATACTTTTACTGGAATGTAACGGCATCATAATGCATATATTTAAACACACTTATAGCATGGCAGCTCATAAGAATCTAAAGGCACCGTTCCCATCACCTTTTGACCACTTGAAGGTTTAATCCTATGAAGACCAAAGAATTTTGTGATGAGGGTGTTCTCATACGACCTTACATGATGATGATAACTTGGAAGCATCCGCAAAAGAACCTACACATCAGAACTCTGGTTAACACACCTCCAGATGATTCAAGAAAAGAGGAGGGGGAAAACTGCAGAACTTCAATTACAGTACATGTATCACAATACCTTATTAGCAAAGGATATAAATACAAATAAAACACTGAGCATAACGTTGATATACATGTCAGATCATAGTTGTACTAATTTGATACCATTGGTCCTCAAGAATAGACATAAGATTTATCAAGAACCTTGTTCAGGGGAAAGAAGCACCAAATTACTTGAAAATAAAAGTCAGAAAACAGCAGGCTCATTGCGTACCAAGCAACTTCTGAGACGGTGGCAATTAAGTAATGACATGTCCAGTAATTCCATAACAATTTAATCTCAATCAAATGTCCAGTTCTCTATAGTTTTTGTTTGCATCTAACTTCGAAGAACAAAAATCATGAAACTGCACAAAGGAGTATCTAAAGGCTCTTTGGAAGGGCTAAAGAAAATAAAGCTCTTTGCTTGGGTAGGTGAGAATCGAAGGAATAAGTTTACTGGTTCTAGTACAAAACTACAAATTCATACAGAAATTTTCTACAGGGAGAAATAGATAACTTCACAAGCCTTTAGTAATTTATGTACATCATCAACAAAAAATGAAGATGCAAAAGCTTCAGCAGTGATACAAACCTGAACTTCAGATTTCCTCAGTGTCTTAATCATGAAACGATCATCTTGAGATAGGAAAAACACACTACCACTTTTTCCAGGAGAAGAAAGTTCCCTGAGAGCATCATTTCCGCAAATAGACATCATGTAGTCAGCAGCATCGATCTTGAACATCTCCCTTAAATTCCTGCAATGAGTTGAAAACATTATAGAAGTATACAGTACACCCACACACACATGATTGTGCATATGAGTAAACAACCCAATTTTTCAGGGTAAGGTCTTAGTCAAGTTGTGTATGTGTGTGTGTCCATGCGTATAGGCGTGATTTGGTGCGGACGCCTGCACTTGAATGATCCTGTATATACATATATTACAGTAAAATGTAAAAGCACAATTCTTTCTTTTTCACCTTTCAGAAGAAAAATGGTTCATGATTATAATCCCAACAAACACAGGATATAAGTGTGAGAACATATGACAAAGTTAGAGTTGGTCCACGATTATACAAAAGAAAAGAATATCCCTATTACTGTAAATGCATCAAACAAACAAATAGGCCACAAGAAAATTCAAGATATGGCAACTAACCTAAAGACCATAGGGCAATAGTCTTTCCACCTAAAATCTACTGACCGATGAGGTGGTGTCAATTGGGAGCCTTCTTTAGGAAAGTTCATCCAAAAACTTGCCCGAGGGCCAAAATCTGATGCTCGGACTTCTCTCCTTTGTATTGGTGTTATCTTCCCAACAGTATACCTGCCACATTTTAATCCACATTTAAATTAAGTTTCAGGAAACAAAGTATGCAATGCACATGAACTAAGTGATGAACATCAGCAATTGCAGTTGGACTTCAAACTTTTTTCACTCCTAAAAGAGAAACCTGTTAAAATAATTAAACCTTTTCACGGAGTCGTACAACTAATATAACTAATTAAACCCTGTTAAAAGAAAAACCTGTTAAAATAATTAAACCCTCTCATGGAGTTATACATTGTCCCGAATCCAATAGGGGAAATGTAAACACAAATCGCATTGCTTAATAAATCTTTGCCGAAACCAGAAGGGAGGAACCAATTAAGCAATATAATCTAATTAAAAACCATGCATTTGATACAAAAGATAAATGAAGACAAAATAATACAAGCATAAAAGTCAAAGATGAAGAAGTCTAACGAATTTACGGAAGGTAATAAAAGTGAAAGTACCTGATACCCAACTGCAAACTGAGCATTAGATCATAGCTCCTATGACCTTTAATGATTGCTTCACCAGGTCTCTTGACCACTTTAGCTAGTTTCTTTTGTCGCCGTTTTGCCCTTCTAGATGATGAAGAAAAGCTGTTATTTATTACTAGCTCACTTATTAAGACACCTTGCATATATTCTCGCTCTAAGATTGGAATTTCTGTCTCAGAATCTTTTTCTCTACCCTCCAATAATGATGGATCATGTCCAATAACTTTTTCAAAAGATACCTCAAGACTCCAACGCCTTTCCAAGGAAACATTTCTATGTGACTGCTCCAAATTTAACAAATTTCTATTAGAGATTTTGTTGGCTGAAGCACGATGAGATCCCTGCAGCCTCTCTCCAATCTTAGCATTTCCCATATCCCCTGAACCAGCATGATGGATATGTGCGTTGTTCTGTTTTCTTAAATCTGGCAAGAGCCCTCGTTTCCTCAAAGCATTCAGGTAAAGTTCTTCTACTGCTGGAAGTCTGCTGCCTTTTGGATAAAACGACCCTTTCCCATCCTTTAAACCGCGGGTCCAAGTTCCAACATAGAAGCCTCCATCACTCCACGTGTATACTCCAAATCCATGCATCATGCCATTCAACCAGCTTCCTTCAAATGAATCCCCATTGGTCCATGTGAGAGTTCCTTTCCCTGACATTTTCCCTCCTTTCATATTTCCTAGATAAACATTTCCATTTACCCATGTATACTTGCCAGGCCCTTCTGGCAACCCCTGCATCCAAGAGCCTTCAAAGGCATCTCCATTAGGATAGACTTGATATCCCAAACCATGTTTGAGATTTAACCGCCATCGCCCCTTATAAGTCAACTTATCCGATCCAATGTAGGTCCCTGTGCCATGCATATATCCACCTGAAAACTCGCCCTCATAAATGGCACCTGAAGACCAAATAATTTTTCCATTCCCATGTCTCATCCCCCGTCTCCATTCACCATCATATATGCAGCCATCTGACCAGACATATTTTCCCTTTCCTTCAGGGATGTTGCCAAGCACAGGTCCAGAATAGGACTCCCTATTCGGAAGTAATAGCTCCCTGACTCTAAAGGCTGCAATTTCAGAAGTATCAGCAACTTCACCATTAGTTATTATGGATTCTCTGTCTTCTCTGGAAATGACATCAAGAGACTTTGTTCTCTCTGCAAAAGTTTGTGCTTCTTCCACTTTATCGCCAATGGCCACAGGGCCAGACATGCATAATGTCCCAAAATTTTCGGTTTCTTACACAATTATAGGCACTCCAGAATTCTCATAGGCCATATGACGATATAGGAATCTGTAAAAGTCATACGAATGAGTGCAAATATACCAGGAAACTCCTTGTCCTCTTATTTATAAACAGCCAGATTAAATTCTTTCTACAAAGGGCAGTTCGCAAGTGCTTAAGATGGATTTTCGGAGCAAAGATCTAACTTGAACTATAATGACATGAAGAAGAAAAAAAATATAGAAAAAAAAAAAGGGAATCCTATTGATTCCGTTAAACTAATATAACTACAATATCACCACCAAAAACTTAATAATTGGCGAAAATAAAGAGCATCGAGCCAATACACATATGCTCTACAATCACACCGGAAAACTATAACTAGAAGAGATCAAATTTGAACTAGCGGGCGCACAATGCTTATCCAGAAACGAATTTTAAAATACACAAGTTATAAAAAGAAGCAGAAAAATGTTCTTTCACAATATCTCATAACACAATAAGGCAGAAAATGCTCAAATGATCTTTCAGAATTCAGTCAACCATAGCCTATAAAATCATCAAGTGGATAACTTTGATATTGTATCTAAAATTTCTGAATGCCCAACTCATTCAAATCATCAAATAAGTTTGCCTTATGTTGCAGCTAAAATTTCTGAATGCCCAACTCATTCAAATCTTCAAATAAGTTTGCCTTATGTTAGAGCTAAAATTTCTGGGTGCCTAACACATTCAAATAGTGCCTCTAAAAATAAATCAAAATCCAAGAGATAACTGAAAGAGCATACATTTACCTCCTCCATTCATTTTTTCTACGAAAAAAAAAAAAGCATCCACCTTTTCACTTAACTTTCTACCCTCTGATTGCCCAAAAGCAGAAAACTTGAGCTGATTTCAGCTCCAAAATCCAAAACCCAAAAAGCCAAAAGTCTCAAAACAAAAGGCAATTCCACTAACAAGTCAAAACTCAACCCACAAAAGCAAATCAAAGGCTCAAAACTTTGTGCAGAAAAAAAAGAAATATACCTGAGAAAATGAAACGAGGAGTGAGATTGAAGCAGCTGAACATGGGCAAGTGCGGTGGGTTTTGGATTCTGAAGCTCTCTCTGTGTTGTGTATTTTTTTGGGTTTTGGACGGTGACCAAATGTTTGCGAATCCCAAAGCCAACTGTGTAGCCTGAGACGCACTCGACAATAATATAAAGAATACTGTTAGTAAAATTAGACCACAATTATAAATATTCTAATAAACAATAAGTAGGTTAATTAATATTATAAGAAATAATCTATTTATCATGGTTTTTGTTATACAATTTATAAAATACAGTTTAAATGGATGATCTCTTTCGCGTAAATATTGGCCGACTTTTGCATAAGATTGTTGCTTGAAGTGACAATACTGCCCTCGTTCGTCATTGGTTTTATTTATGCTCTCGTACATTACACGTCCAAATTTCTTGGCAGGTTTCTCTTTCACTATTTAGCTGAGTTAATATGATTTGGTTTTTCTTTTGTAATTTTTAGTTTTAGATATACATAGTAAATAATAATTCTAAAAGACATTTTTCTCTCATGTTGTTTTGTTTTTAGCTAAGATTATCAACGAAGTAACATCGTTATTTGAAACATGTAAACATGATGAGAACTATACGAAAAAAGTTGAAGTTCATCATAAAATCAATTGATAATATGAGGAATAGTTTAATCTCTTATAAGTTTATGTATGGTCCCTTCTCTCATCAATATAGGATTTATTCTCAACATGCCCTCTTACGTATGACTAATTTTCAAAGCCTAATACGTAGACAACACAAAGGGATGACGTGAAGCGTGTGTGACTATCTGGCTTCACACGTGGGGACAACATACTTTAATACTATGAAGAAAGTTGAGATGTCACCATAATACCAATTGACAATATAGGGAGCCCAACCTCTTATAAGCATCATGCAAGATCCCTCCTTTCATCAATGTGAGATTCATTCTCAACACTATATTTTTTACTCTTCAAGTTTATGATTGTTTTCGAAATGGACCAACAAAATTTGACTTCTCATATTGCACCATCAAATTTTGTAATCATATCAATTTATGTACTCAAGCTGTTTGACCTTCTGATCATTTGTCAAATTGATAACTTGAGAACAATGACACTCATTTATCGGTTGATGTAGTCACGCTTGCATCACATAGATCAGATATAGTCTTCATGGAGCTTCGTCAAATTAGAAATATAAACTGATATGATTTCAAAATTAGACATGCAATGTTAGAAGTTGTTTACCAATTCACTTTTGAATCGGAATCAAAACCATTTGATTACTAAAGACTGTTTACTACTCTCATGTTTCATGGTTTTCAACATTTAGTACATCAAGTTTTTTTCGTCTCAGAGTCATACCTAAAGTGTAAATTTTGGGACAATCTCATACATCCGTTAGTCAAACTGTTAAATTTGCCATTAATTGTGACGTGGCGCCCATGTGGACAATGACTGGGCGCCACGTGTCAGCCATGTTTTTTTTTTTTTTCTTTCTTTCTTTCTTTCTTTCTTTCTTTTTTCTTCTTTCTTCTTCTTTCTTCTTCTTTCTTCTTTCTTCTTCTTCTTTCTTCTTCTTCTTCTTCCTCTTCTTCTTCTTCTTCCTCCGAATTTGCCCAGATTCGGTTTTCTTTTTTTTTTTTTTTTTTTTTTTTTTTTTTTCTTCCTTATTCTTCTCCTTCTTCCTTCCTCCTTCCTCCTTCCTCCTTCTTCCTTCTTCCTTCCCCTTCTTCCTTTTTCCTTCTTCCTTCTTCTTCCTCCGAATATGGGGAAGATGAAGGTTTTTTTTTTTTTTTTTTTTTTGAGGAAGATGAAGAAGAAGGAAGAAGGAAGAAGGAGAAGAAGGGGAAGGAAGAAGGAGAAGAAGAAGGAGGAAGAAGGAGGAAGGAGGAGGAAGAAGAAGAAAAAAAAAATAAATCGAATCTGGGAAGATTCGGAGGAAGAAGAATGAAGAAGGAAGAAGGAAGAAGGAGGAAGGAGAAGAGGAGAAGGAAGGAGAAAGAGGAAAAGAAGGAGGAAGGAAGAAGGAAGAAGGAAGAAGGAAGAAGAAGAAGGAGGAAGAAGAAAAAAAAAAAAAAAAAAAAAAAAAAAAAAAAAAACTTCCCCAGATTCGGAGGAAGGAGACGGAGAAGGGAGAAGGAAAAAGAAGGAAGAAGGAGAAGAAGGGGAAGGAAGAAGGAAGGATGAAGGAAGAAGGAGAAGGAGGAAGAAAAAAAAAATAAATAAATAAATTTGCAGTTGGAAGAAGAAGAAGAAGAAGAAGAAGAAGAAGAAGAAGAAGAAGAAGAAGAAGAAGAAGAAGAAAGAAGAAAAAAAAAAACGTGGCTGACACGTGGCGCCCAGTCATTGTCCACATGGGCGCCACGTCACAGGTTAACGGCAAACTTAACAGTTTGACTAACGGATGTATGAGACTGTCCCAAAATTTACACTTTAGGTATAACTCTGAGACGAAAAAAACTTGATGTACTAAATGTTGAAAACCACGAAACATGAGGGTAGTAAACAGCCTTTTACCCTAAAATTTAATTTTCATACAATTTTAACCCATAAATGATTGAATTTTCTCTCTTTATAAACTAATTTTTTAACCATTTTTTTTTTTGACCTTTTCAAACCTAATTTTTTTAGGGAACTTTAACAAAAAACACCCGGTACTGTTCACTTTAACGAAAAACCACATTTTTACACTAAAAAGTCAATCCTGGTACTATTCACTTTACCCTTTATTTTGTCCTTATCATTAAAACTCAAAATTTTCAAACCCTTTTAATTAGTTTTCCTATTTTTTTATACCCACCCCATAAACTTCCCAAGCCAGCAGCCCAAGTTTTCTACCTTTTGAAACCTAATTTTTCACGTCTTTTCTCTTCTCCCCAGTATCCTTCGTCAGTCCACACTAGCCGCTACCGCCACCATTCTCTCCCTCCCTTTCCTCCATTTTATTTTCTGTGGATCCTTCATCATCATTTCCTGCGCATCCATTGATCTCTCTCGCACGTCGCATCTCAATCCCCACACGACCACAATGCCATAACCAAAGAACAACCAACTCACTACGATATCTAAAGACGCCCTAGGATTCTTGAGATTGGTTCACTAGGGCACGCAGAGGTGGAAGGGAGGCAGGAAGAGAGGTCCCGGGGCTTGTTGATTTGAGTGGCAAATTTGGAGTTTTTAGGAATTAGATGGTTATAATTGGTAGAAAATTGTATTTCGGATTCCTCCTTCGTCCCGGAATTCAAATGACACCTACTACTTAGGAGTTCAATTCCTCCAAAATCAGGAAGTCAATTCCTATCTTTTTCGTGGACCTCACCCATTTTGATTCCTCCAAATTTTAGTAAACTCAAGAAGAACCGGTAATCGGAATCACACTCCGACTTTTAATTTCGATTACGAACACGTAAACACGCCCTAAGTGAGAGAATGTTGCATCTTAAACCAACCTTTTTGTAATTTCAACTAATCGAAAGCTAGCCCCCCATTTTTGGGTCGGGATTCACCAAAAAAAAAGAAAAAAAAAAAAAAAGAGGTGATGCCATCTACACACATATTTTATCTTGCATATATAACAAGAAATATGTGAGAAGTAAAAATAAGTGTGTAGATATCACCACGCAAAGAAATAGACAAAATAATCCTAAAAAAAATAAAAAATAAAAATAAAAAAACTACCACTAACAAGAAACCAAGAATTTTAAGTTGTTTGGGTATTATTGTAAAACAAATAAATAATAAAACGAGCAAAGTAAGAAAAGAAAAAAGAAAAGAAATATAGTTACGGGTAGAGATGAAGTTCAAATTTCTTCGTCCTTTTATTCAATTATCCATAGAGTAAATTCTCTTTGAGCTAGTGGAAAGCGAGCAAAGATTTGAAATTCTCATTCCAAGTTTGAACTCTTACATGAGTATTTTTTAGGGTCAAAGACTCTACTTTGGCATACCATTTGACTTGAAAACCAAAGGTGTGTCGTCACTTCATGTGTTACCCTAGCTGCATTGAGAAGAAGATTATTAGCTTTTTTTTTTAGGGTAAATTATATAACTACATCAACTATTGGGTCAGTTATAGTTTCATACCCCATCTTTAAAAAAATTCAATGTCATACCTCATCTATTAATTTTTTACAATTTCATACCTTTAGTCAGTGTTCTATCCATTCTTCCGTTAAATAGTGACTTGGCTTAAGATGGGGCCCACTCTCTATTAAAAAACTAAAAAAAATCATTTAATATTTTTTTTGCATAGGGGACCCACTCCAAACCCAACCATTTTCTTCCCCCTCCCGTCTTCCTCAAACCCAAACCCAGATCCCACCCACCCCTTCTCTTCCCCGCTGTCATTCTTCGCCACATCAACAATCCCATCCACCACCTCCTCCTCCGTCCCCTCCCTCAAATCCTTCAAAGCCTCACTCCCTGAAAACCCCCAAATCTATGACTTCTCCGGGATCAACTCCACCACCTCTAACTTCCTCCCTCACCGTTGCCTCTCCTCCTCCTCAACCTCCCCTTCTTGGCGCTGCTCGCTTCGATCCAAAGACGCCGTCATCTTCCAATGCAAATCTCGCCTTCCCATCTCTTTCCCCAACCTCCAGCGCCACATTTCCCACATCTCCAAATCCCACCACTCCACCCTCATCAAGCTTCTTGACGCCTCCCTCTCTAGGAGTTACGTTTACCTCATTTACGAATTCGTCGTCGGCGCTAGCCTCGCCGGCTATGTTTGTAACCCGAAGAACCCGAGCTATATCGTTCTATCGTCATGGTTTTCTTAGATGCAGATCGTCACTGACCTTGCCCACGGCCTTGATTACATGCACCACGACTCTGGCCTTGACTCAACCTTCGTCCATAACCACATCAAAAGCTCCAGCTTCATCATCTCCAAGGAGGACCACCTTGTGCTCGACGCCAAAGTCTGCCATTTCGGCACAGCAGAACTCTACGACTGGACCCAGGCTCGGTTGACGAAACTAAAGGGCACGCGCAGTTACATGGCGCCAGAGTTTGAGGAGCAAGGAGAACACTGTGGGTTTGGGGAAGACAGGAAGGGGAAGAAAAGGGTGGGTTTGGGGAAGACGGGATCTAGGTTTGGGTTTAGGGTGGGTCCCCCATGCAAAAAAAAATTTAATGATTTTATTT